TTTTGCCCTCCCCCCTAACCAACTATATTAAGAAGTTAAGACAGTCTAGAATCACTCAACCTCTACTTTTATAGTTTGCTAACTCTTGCATCACACCTATTGTTCTTTACTGTCTCCGGTCAGTCTTTCCTGGGCTAATAAAAAAAGACTATGTCATACTGCACAGGGTATTAAAGGTTGTTAGTAGCGTAGGTGGTGTGTCACTAAGTCAGCTCGCTACTACTTTAGCAGATAGACACCCGAACTCGTATGAGAAATGGTTCAAATCCATAATGTCTGACAATCAGCACCTTTAATGTTCTCAACTCTCCCCTTTCATCTCATCAGGTAGGATTTGAAGTCATTATATAAAATTATATGTTCTCACAACCAAGTACAAAAACTCACTGATACCATGTTTGGCCCGTGTTCTATGTGAACGAGATAGTGTTAAGCGTGAAACCTAAAACTTACTATGTAATTAGCAAAATAATCGACTCTCCCACCTTCTATGATGATGCTTTAGTTGACTTATAATTTTACGTATTAACATTATTGCCATTATTTTACACCTTTTGTACATTTTTGACTTTATCATCATTGCTAATACCAAAAACGCTGCTGTCACCAATCCTGTGATATTATTTTTGTTTTTGCTGTTGTCGAGTAAATTAGATACAATATTGTACAAAATACTGAGAAATTAATACTGTATCATAAGTACTGTTTTGGAATAAAGAGAATTGTTATTTTTTTATTTATTCCTTTACGTTCCCAGTGGAACATATTGCTTCAAGTTAGAGGCTTGAAGTTTCAGCAGCAGTGGTGATTATTTTTACGGGATGGAGTTGCTAGCCTCATGCCCAAACTTCTCTCTTTACCAGTCTCATTACTGGCTTAGCTAGGTAAAGGAGTGCGTCAGCCGGGGATCGAATCCCGGAACGTATGCGTGGTTGGCGAGCATTCTACAGCTGTGCCACCGACGCAAAAGCAAACTACTATAATTGTTAGTAAACCAGAGATATTTAGATTACCATCTCTTCGTTCTACCAGGTGAACTATGAAAACCAACTGATAACCAGTTTATTATTTCAAGGGTTACGCTGAAATGTTATGTGAATGGACTATATGTAACTGTTTGTTCATCATCATACTAATTTCAGAGGTATGTCTTTTATTTTTCGAAGCAAATTAGTTTGTGATTATTGATTATTACTAATACTTGATCGAGACTGAAACAGTTATTTAAAAAAAATGCTTTTTGAGAATTGTGGTTTGCCCAAAAAATGAGCTGAAAAACATGCCACTGATATGAATAACAATAGGAGATAATCTTAACAGTATATGCAGTGGATTCCGATTGTATTGTAGAAGCAAAAATGGTTTATCATCGGTTTTCCTACTAAACATTTAGAGAAAATGAACGATGAGAGAATAATACATTTTTGCAGACATTCGATAAACACAAATCTGTCTTAATTTGACACCACTGCTCACTTGGTTGTGATTCACTTTTTAATTCATGATGCAACGATAAACATATTTAGTTTACGAGGTTCGTAATATGTTACACACAAGTGGCTGGACTGATTAACTAGTAACTTTGAGTGTCATATTTGCCTAATGTTGTTTTCATACATTAGGGTCTGGCCCATGTTTAAATGAAGTGAATTTACTTTGTATAAAATACATCTTTATGTTTTGTTCCGCTTCTCATGCTGAGTGAAGCAATATGCTAAGTAATAACAAGATTGAGCATAGAGTGTTGGGCAAGCAGAGGAGGTAGTTAGATAAGTTTGGTAATCTTAATCACCTGAGATTGCTAAGGCCAATACTACAAATGCTGAACGACTCCTTTTTTGGCGAGAATTTTTACCAAGAATAGGCGTAGTTTGGAAAAGCTGCAGGTTTCACCAAACAATGAAGTCATTCGATTTCGGTCTAAGTAGACCTCCGACGTATGGATCGCATGAGTGGATTCTCTGAAAAGCTAATGATTAATGGCTGGGTACTCGAAAGATTTCACAATGGCCCACCTTCAGGACTTTGAATACCTTCATTTATCCAGTCCATCACACGTCCATTTATCTACTATAGCGTAATTTCTTTTTTCTGTTAGCTTATTCTCTACGCTCTTCCTTTCGCAATTTATTAAATACAGTAGAAATTATAATAAAGGTTTCTGTATTTCCCAATGAATGAAAAACAAAACGATATTGCTGCTTTTACTGACATTTCGCTATTTGATGCTGCTAATAGCTTTATCAAAGTATTATTAAACCGGAGTTTACAAAATCTCAGCATATATATAACAAAGAGTTAAGAGGTGAGAAAATAGACTTAGGTCAATTGAAAAGGACATATTGAAAGTCAGAGTAACAATGGAGGTCACTAAATTAAATAGCAAAGGTAATAGTACATTTGTTATGATATCAAAACAAAGTTTACTAACTTGATGATCGTTCGTCAGTCTGGGGTCATTTTACATTGTCAAGTTGGTCAATTGGTAAAGACAACAAGACCAAGTGTAGATTGTTGGATTTGATCAGTGTGTAAAATTATAAAAGCAGTGTGTGTTTACATAGTGAATTTGCTTATCGCATTCGTGTTGATTTTGTCACTTCATGGGGGAGGGGAGTTGTTGTAACCAGGTCAGATTCTGTTTTAGTCCATCATTCCTATTCAGACAATTTGAATTCCACTTGATATGAAGTGCTTCTGATACTAGACGTTCTTTGTGATTTCTGAAGCTTTTCTGGATTATTTCAATATTGTCAAAATCAATTTTGTGACCTGATTCTATAGCGTGTAGGCCTATGGCTGATGATTTTTCAAGCTTTTTTAGTTCAACTGCATTTCTCGGTGATTGAACAGATGCTCTTCGGTGTTCATTTCTTCTGATTTTGATTTCTCGAGATGTCTGTCTGATGTATATCGCATCACATTCAAAGCATTTTATTTTATAGATACAATTAGATAGAGAATGTTCAGGGGTTTGGTCTTTTATAAGGGCAACGTTGTTTCGTAGTATGTCTGATGTTTTGAAGAAAATTCTTATGTCAAGCTCACTGAGTACTCTTCTGATATAGTCTGATGTCTCTGCTCTATAAGGAATGACGACTGTTGAGGTCCATGTCTTCGGAATAGGTTTTCGGCCATACTGAATATCTGTGTTGATTTTGTTGATGAAGTTCCTTGGGTAGTAGTTTTGCTTGAGAGTTTCAGTAGCGTTTGATATTTCTTTTTCTTTTTCTTTTTCATCGTTATCAGAGAGTGTGCTCGTCTAATAATTTTACTCACTGATCAAATCCAACAATCTACACTTGGTCTTGTTGTCTTTACCAATTGACCAACTTGACAATGTAAAATGACCCCAGACTGACGAACGATCATCAAGTTAGTAAACTTTGTTTTGATATCATAACAAATGTACTATTACCTTTGCTATTTAATTTAGTGACCTCCATTGTTACTCTGACTTTCAATATGTCCTTTTCAATTGACCTAAGTCTATTTTCTCACCTCTTAACTCTTTGTTATATATATGCTGAGATTTTGTAAACTCCGGTTTAATAATACTTTGATAAAGCTATTAGCAGCATCAAATAGCGAAATGTCAGTAAAAGCAGCAATATCGTTTTGTTTTTCATTCATTGGGAAATACAGAAACCTTTATTATAATGAATATCATATACCCAATGCCCAAATTTTGTCAAACTGCTAAAAGTGAACTTGGTTTGGACACATATAACAGTACAAATTACTTAAGCATTGAATCGTCTGTGAGATTTTTCCTCTCCTGAGTTTAACACTAATCGAGTTATTTGAATCAGATTTTATTAGCAATGAAATTCCAAAGTTTTATCGTCTTGTCTAAAGTGATGTTTAACATTGCGACAGGATTCAAGATAAGCATTTTGTACATAGTGGGTTTGCACTAAAATAACACAGGAGTAAGATATAGTCAAAACGTTTTTACTATGACCATTTATTTAGACTTCTCTTACAGTTTTCTACAGACGTTATTTAATTGGTTTTTGCTTTTGTTCAGTAACTTATCTAAACTTACCAGTATGTTTTGCGTACTTTCTAGGCATAGTCTTCTTATAACGCTATCCAAATTTATAAAAAGGACAAATTGTTTGAAATAGTCGATCTTGTTATATCCAGAACTAAATTTGATATTTTACTTTTAAAAACTGTAGAGCAGATGCAAATGTAACAGAAGCGAGAATATATTCTAACTCTTTTTAGATTGTTAAAATTTTGCATCAAAACAAGAAGAAGCAGTTTCGCTGAATATTGTTGCTACTATTTTTCATTTTATATCTTACCCTGAAAAAACGACGATTATTAGATGGATATATGTGGTGGTTTTCGTAGCTGAAAATAGTCTCCATAAGTTGTAGTGTTCATCTTTTATTCTAAATCTGTTTGAGAGAAGAAATACAACAGCCTACGTCAGATTATAGGCTACTGTGAACATTTTAATCACAAAGTACGAATTTATTGCAACTGACTTCAAAGCTGATGCACTGATGTGGTTTTCTCTCTGTTGTAAGTACTGCTTTGCACGAATCTTATTTGTTTCTAGTTTGATCTCAAACTGACTTCTATTGGAGAATCACTAAGCACCAAGGAGTATTGACCAATTACTTCTTCCTTGTTTGGAACTCTTCTGTAGTACTCAGCCATTACCACACTAGGGTTTATTTAACCTGAGTTACATGTAAGCTTTTTGATACATAACCACGTTTTTCGGAGATGCTTTATTGCTGGTCACGGTTACTGAACACTTTTACTTTGTACCTTCAGCTGGTAAATAATATGTAAAATCCATCAATATTTGATATTACATATTTCATGTTATGTGATACTAAATTCCGATACGAATAAATAATTTCTGTTTTACATTTGTTCATGAGAAATGACACATTTCTATACTGTTTGAAAAACTCCATCAAACAGACCTTATCTAATTTTCACATCGATTTTCGTATGTTTTGTTTTTCACTTTCTAGATTTATTCAAACTCAAACATTTTGGAGTTACACTGTGTACAGATGTGAATGTAGACAGTTACTTCGATCCCTCGATATTGGATCACCAGACATCAGTTTACTGCCCATATAGAACTGTTTTGCATATTTTGGACGCGATATATAGCCCAGTGCAGAATGAAAATTCCTTTTGTTCAAAGTACTCCGATTCGAAATATTCAGACCTAACTTTAATTAAGCAAAATCATTTGTCTGAATGTTCACCTAGATCAATTGGTCAGGTGAGTAAAAGTGATTTTTGTGTGAACATGTTTAAATAGCTTTTGGTCGCTGCTTGGGTTGAATAAGCACAGAAGAAAGTTCATGTAATAGGCTGTGTCAGAGAATTCAAGCTGATCCTTTTCGGTACTTAAATAGTCCCAAAGACAAATGTGTTAGGAAATGATCAAGGTGACAGTTTCCGAAATATTCTAAATGAACTTCATAAGTACGTCTGACTAAATTATTATTTTAAAAAAAGTATTTAGAATGTGACTGTCGTTCAGTTGCCTGCTAAGGATGGGAGAAGACTGAGTATAAATGCCACTATTGAACATTAATTTACAACAGGTATATCTAAAATAGAGTGGATTTCAATCTTTCCATCCAGTCATATACTTTTCCCAACTCAGCACTCAACCCAGATGAAGTCACTGACGAATTGAGATTATTATTCAGATTATAATATATCCCCAGGTATATAATAATCTGCCTGAAATCAAATTTTATCCACTAATATTCATAAAGATTGTATTAACAACAGCATTTTAACATATTAATTTTTGTGTAAACATAAAAACGTCAGATTAAATGTAGGAAAATTAACTGCAAACAAGCAATAACAATTTACCAACTACGCTGCAAAGTTTTAGTTAATGCCACTTATCAGTCTCACTGTTATTTACCTTATTATGTTACAGTGGTGCAAGTACAGCTTTGACATTAAGTGTGACTGATTCTGAGTAATTAAAGGGTGGAGGAAGAAATATGTATACTAAAAGGAACAAGTGAATAGATGACATTAACTAGTTGTACATGTGAGTATAGCATTGATTGCATGCCTCATTGCTGTTCTCTCTCCGGCATAAATTAACCTGTCAATAAATGTTTGTCATCAGATTTCACTTTTTTGGAAGTGAATTAATTTCAATGTTTATTTTTTCACAGTTAGATATCGGTTAGAGAATCAATAAAACTTCATTTAAGCTTAAAGCAAACTCTTTTCTGCATGACTTCATCGGTCAGCAGTTATTTCATATTACGTCTCTTCAACTGTGTAAACAAATCGATAACAATTTTCTCCCATTCTTTTTTCAGATAGTCAAAAGAATTTGTGATGGTACGAATAAATGTGACATAATTAATCAATTGAAGAAAGATAATATAACTGTATGTTTATATCCATCAATTCTACAAGTGAATTACACATGCCTTCCAGGTACTGAATAATCTTTTTATTTAGCAAATAACAGAAATTGCATTCTTTGTTTAGTTATGAACTGATATTAAATGAATAGAAAGTAGGATAGAGGCTTATCTTTTCTAAATCTACTGAAGGTGATAATAATAAAACAAAGTGCTTTAACTTGCTGATTATGCCCTATCATCATCGAGTTTTTAATTACAACTATAGAGTGGAAAAGTGAACCTTTTTCAGGTGAAAATGTATCTGAACGGGCTGGATTCAGGAGAAACAAGTCATGCATTGATCAGATCGCCACATTACGGATCATCATTGAACAAAGCCTGGAATGGCAGTCACCTCTCTATCTCAACTTCATCGACTTTGAAAAGGCCTTCAGCAGACAGTGTCGATCGAGAGGTGATTTAGCAACTACTTCGCTACTACGGGGTGCCACCGACAATTATACGTCTCATCCAACAGCTGTGCGATAATTCTGCATGCCAAGTAATCCACAACGGGAAACTTACGGAATCCTTCGAAGTGAGGACAGGAGTAAAACAAGCTGGCTGCCTACTATCGCCAATTACTTTCCTGATTGCAGTAGATTGGATAATGCGACAAACAGTGGGCAATGAGGAAACAGGCATAAAGTGGACACACACAAAAACGTGGAGGATCTGGACTTCGCCGATGATATTTGTCTAATTTCCCACAAACTGGAAGATATGCAAGAGAAGAGCAACAAGTTGGCAGAAGAAGCATCCAGGGAAGTTCGGACTTCAGGTGAACATAGAGAAAACAGAGGTGATGAAAATTCCTGGGCAATACCACCAACAGCAACAGCAACAACAACAGACAACAATCAGCATAAATGGAAGGAACCTGAAAGAAACAACCCCTTTTACCTACCTGGGAAGCATCGTTTCAACTACAGGCGGAACTGACGAGGATATCGAAGCAAGAATCGGGAAAGCAAGACAAGCTTTCACTACTCTCAAGTCTGTGTGGAGGTCAACAACTCTCAGCATCAAAAATAAGGTCCAGATTTTCAACATCATTGTGAAGTCAGTGCTACTATACGGATCAGAGACTTGCACTGCGCGTCATAAAGAGCATCTCAAACAAACTACAGACCTTCATTAACACTTGTCTTCGCTCAATACTGAAGATCAGATGGCCGGCCAGAAAAGATCAGCAACAGGGAAGGATCTGTGGGAGCGAACCAACACAGCAGGAACCGATTGTGAAACAAATAGGCAGGAAGAAATGGAGATGGATTGGCTGGCCATACTCTGAGGAAACCATCAAGTGACATCACTAGACAAGCCATTACTCGAATGGAACCCGAAAGGGAAGCGGCGAGTTGGTCGTCAGTGCAAGGGTGACTTGGAGGAGGTAATGTGAAGAGGAAATGAAAGCATGTGGGCAGACTTGGAGCCAGTTGAAAACTCTAGTAGAGAAGCGAACGCAATGGAGACGTGCGGCTGAAGCCCTATGTTCTTCTAGGAATTAAAGGAAACAATAATAATTATAATAATGCATTTCTGGTGGCCACTTTCACTTATTATAAAACCTTCATGCCAAGTTTGTACAATGAAGATGTGGATTGCTGTATCAATAGTTTTGATCGCTATTAAATAGGACATTTTATAACTCTATATTGCTGTTATATAGTTTGACTAATCACAATCATGATTTTTTATTATCGTGAAAAAATTTATTTATGTAGAAAAGTAAAGGATCAATTGATTTAAAAACGATGGATATCTTTAAGTGAGCTAGCCATGTTTTTAGCTCAGTTAATGAGCGCAGACATTCAGCTGCTAGGTTTGAAGTAGGCACATATGAACTGTTATGAAAGGTGAAGTTATAAACATTTTATAAATCAATCATTCAGATTTTGACGCTCTGAATACAAAATGAAACAGGAAACAAAATTTAAAGAATAGTATTAACTGCTGATGTCTCGTCTCGTCTGTGTTTCTCAACTCCTTGAAGGCTCCAAAATAGTCATATTTTACATACAAATGTTATGATAGCTGTCTGCAAGCCAAAATTGCAGACAACAATTTACATCAGTGTTTACGTCCCAAATAGGGGTCATGAGGAAAAACAATAACAAAGCTTAACCTTGAGGAACTCAGCAATCAATCACAGCAGACTTAACGTGTGCAAATACGATTCGCAGATATATGGCTTAACTATCTAGGAAACGGTCACAAGCAGTACAGAATAACCTTGAGCAAGAAAACAACCAGTCAGAAGACGTTGCTTCTCTGCTAACAATAATGAATAATAATGTACATACAAATCAATAAAAATCTGTTGATTTTCTCAATAAACGATCTGTTGCCTGGCCCTTGTCTTCTGTTGTTACACACAAAAAATGATCCGCGTATCTGCACAGCTAGTTAATAATGCATGTAACTATGGTACATTAGAATCTACCACGATTTGTTTTAAGCGTATGCTGCAGTGCGTAGCTTGAGTGAACACTATTTCACAGTGATTAATTTGAATTCTGCTGAGGTAATTTCCCGTTCACTTCTTACTCTTTCTCTCAGTGTATTTATCAATGTCTTCCTACCGAAAGCACAGATATGAAATACAAGTTTGTATTTTAGAATCCTTAGTAGCTGATGGTTATAATTTCCATATGGTTTTCCTGATTATTTGAAGATAGCCACTTTTTTCTCAAATTTTCCACTGAAATCATTTTGAATCAGTTTTCTACACCTAGGAAACAAGGTTTGGATTAGTCCCACCTTTGGCTGTATGAGGAAAAGCCAGTAAGATGAAGATAGCTATCATTTCAGACTTCTGTTCAGTAGAGAAATCTTGGACTTTGTTTGTCATTTCTTAGAGGTACATCTAAAACCAGGAATTTAAAACAGTAATTAGCTTTAAAGCTCCTAGTCAGCATGGTGTATTTTTATGCTTTGAAATGTTTCTGAAGAAAATCTGTCGCTCGACTCATGTCACTCAATAAATATCAGCGCCATCAAAATACCTGTTGTACTTCGAGATTTAAAAATACGGGAGCGAAAACTACTATTTTTATGCTTCCAATAAAATATGCGCCAAAAGACTTATTGTTATCACTTCAGCTGTTCTATAGTTCAGTCTTCTCATCAGGCTGAACAAAAAACACTTCCTCATCTCTACTTAAGTATGTGCATTTCATCTGGAGACTGACAAAAAATGCCCATTCCTATCTACAGTGTTATAATGGTAAACAATGTTGACGTTAAAAATGTGAGTGTCTTTCATAAAAGTTTCATTCATTATCTATGCGAAAGCAGGTGTGGTCCAAGAAATTGAGATTATGGAGATATGACCGAAATCAAGTGCGTCGTTCAGGTTACAGTTGTCAGCCGTATTCTTAAGCCATTCTTACTGATTTTGGAATCAGACAGTTAGCCTATGACAAAGTAAAATGATGACAGGTGAAATCAAACTAACAGCCACTGTATATTTGTCAACCTAGATTTTGTAGACTTGACCACAGATCGATTTCTTGTTCAACGACTCTTCCTTTTGCTTCATTAATTTAGCCTTCATTGAAGAAGGAACAAGTTGTTTGAATCTTCCACCTCAAATCTGGAAATTCTCTATGATATTTCTTAAACAAAGTTTTCTTGATACAGTTATTAGTTTTTATAGGTGAGAGACATAAAACGGATTGTTGTTTACTAGAGCCAACTTCCCACGTTTCTGAGGATATACTCCATAAAATAGCAAAACTGCCAAGATCACAGAATGTGACCTGCTTGATAGCATAAACGGTGATCAAGAAAGCATGCATATTTGCATAAAACTCTACACTGCTGTTTAATTGAAACAAATAGTTGTATACCACTCATATCCATCAGTAGTGCTTGATAGCCAGATCCAGATGATCTAAACACCGGACGGTGGTTTTGCTCTTTTGGAGCCGAGATGGTCGGCAGTTTACCAAGTGTAACTCAGCTGAGACAGCCAGCTCGATTTGGCTAGCAAGTATTACTGGTTGATATGAGTGGGGTACTACCACTCATCTCAGTCATCCAGAAGTATATAGTTTCATGCCTGTCAAAGTAGTGACAGTCCATTTCAAGAAAGAAAAAAACTGTGCTAAGCAATTTATCATAAACTGTCCTGCCACATTCCATATTAGATAAGTTTACTTTAAATATCACACAGTGATTATTCAATATTAACAAATAAATGACGTTTCGAACACAATTTATTGCTCATAATCACATCAATTTAGTCGCACGGTTTCACAATTTGCCTTCAATATATATTTTCTCTCATTCTATCCCCCCAACTTCCCTTTTTGTTGTTTGTCGCCACTTTACGTATCTTCAGTGTAGACGGCGTTGCATCATTCCGATTGAACGTACTCAGTGTTGAATCGATAAACAAAACCTCAGTGATTAACCTCATTCTCTCTCCACTGAACTATATTACTTTTTAATATTCTCACCCTGTCCCCACCCCCACTATATTAGGTGATTACAAGCAAATAAATGCAATGCCATGGCTCAGCTTTTTCTAGGTCATTTAACTTCGCAAAATCAATTATCCTAGGTCTAGCTAAAATGTTTATTTTCCAATAGTCTTGTTAACCCCAGTATACTAGCTTGACCTATGTAATTGACTTCACTAACAGTCATTACATGGTATATGATAAATTATATTATTTTTCTTAATTGGATCTATTGGGTCCATAAACCAACAAAATTTATCTCAAATACCACCCTAATTCCAGCCTCACTGGGAATCCTAGATAAGGCCTCTGACGTTCCTTCTTTATACGTCAGTACTGCAGAGGCTTTGAATTCTATATAATTTTCGTCATTTTTATTACTAATCTTAGTTTTTCTATGGTTCATTATATATTTCTGAATAAATTATGTTGTGTAGTTATTCAACAGCAATACTTTCTTCATTTGTTTGATGTCATTATTTATTTCATGCATTTATATTTATTTATATCTTCTGGCTTACTACTTAGTCTCTTGGCCCTTCCACATTCACACAAATATTCACCCCCCACACACACACACTCTGAAAATGAACAATACGCAGTTTTTGGCTGACTTTGACGACAGTCATTTTTCGTTTCTGTTGTGTTCTTCACTTGTGGCTAAACCCACTTGAGATAAAAATAAATTTATGAAAAATTCCATTGTCCTTCATTATGAATGTAAGTTTGGTGGTGATATAACATCGCCAACAATTAACATCATAAGAAAACAACTTTCTTAATAAAATGAAATCCTTAAGTATTTGTGGAGATTTCTTCTAACAGCCTAGTTTACTTATTCTTGTTTCTTCAGTGTGCTACAATATATTGACCTTTAACTCTTCCTGTAATTTACTCCCCTACAGTGTATTCAAAACAAGAAGTTATCTGCGCCGATTCTTATGTTGAACTCTCTTGTAAAGACTTATCTGCTGACATGGGACTGTTAATACTGGAAGCCATGCTTAATCAAAACGTATCGCTTGATCCAACATTACCCAATGAACAACAACTGCAGATTTGTACAAAAACTGGAACAAATGGTAAGTCTGTTAAGTTATTATCCATTCAAACTTTGAGTTGATATTCAACACTAAAGTAAATGTATCTTCCTAGTAAATATCAATAAGAAATTTTGCTGAAAGTTTGTTAGGCAAAAAAGCTTTGCACCTGCGGTGATCTTCTAAGAGAACCTAAATCCGTTGCAAACAAGACATTGAATAGCAAGACCAGATAAGATGTATGTGATTACAGGTCCTGAAGTTTGAAGCAGTAGTTACCACCTAAATGGCATCGATAAAAAACTGAATTTTAAATCTTATTTTTGGAACCGTACACACTGATATCATAAATTACAGGTACGCATACACAAAACTTATGTACCGTATGGTGACATAACGTGGAATAAAAATTCGCATCCTTGTATGCTACGAATCAACTCCCCACAAATTACTCCACTTAGTGGCATTTGAAGATATCACGAATTCATATAGCAAAGCATTTATATTGTTTCATTTTCTGTCTTATCATTGTTGTTGCTGTATAATAATGAAGATTTAAAGTAAAACAATTGGTTGGCCAAATTAAATTTAACAAATGATAGTTGATTGTGATAAATCGTCGAGAAGAAACTAAATGTTGACCACTGAACCCAAAGAATTGTCTAAAAAACAAGTGAATGATCTGATAATTTGAAGTTCTGTAGACTATTGCAGATCGTATTTAGACCGTAACATTTTCTACTTATACTTTCAGTTTAGACGCACATCCCAGGGACAGTAAAACATGACAAATAAAAAACAACAGACACGTTGATCTAACCTTGGAATCCAGTACTATTATTTCCATATATCATGAAATATGTTGCTCACATCTACAATTTACATGTGTTATGCCTTATCAGTTTAAACAGTAGCCTTTTAAGCCTTGATTTAAGGATTCCAATCCTTCTCTGGCAACTAAGTTTGATGCAGCTAGAGCGTACCATCAGTTCCCTTGTCAAGTAAATCTACTTGTGCAGTCATTTTAAGTACATACTATTTTTATTTTATTTTTATTTTGGTTACAGCTTGATGCCACACCGTATTTTCAGTACAAGTATGACATTTTCAGCGTGGATATCGGTAGCCCGAATTTTACAGGCCAACCATAGATATCGGGTGTGCGTCTGCAGGGGATCGAACCTCGGACCATGTGCATGGTCGGCGAGAGTCCTAACCACTGTGCCACCGACGCACCATAGAATTGATCAGAAGTCATACCTCCACATTCATTCTCTAACTGATGAAAACTAAGCTCTAGTAAGGTGAATCAGTAAAAATGCAAATAGCTGTCTCACAATCTTAGTAACCATCAAGGTCAAGAAACATCAGCACATAGAATATACATAAAGAATGGTGAGAATAGTGAAACCGTTTACTGTACCTAGGCATCCTACATTTAGCTCTTCGTACTTATGCTAGTCCGATCCTATTTTAGACAGTTTTCAAGAGTTACTCGTTCTCACACCATTACTAACAGAAGGTAACAAATCAGTAGCCTTATACAAGTTATTTCATAACTTTCACTGCGGTTAACGTGTATTTAGGCTCTTGACCATTTATTCTAATCCTAGATTATATAAGCCAACCACTTCGCATTTTATTTTGTATGTGAAACAATCGAATGAATAAAAGATAAATGTTCCCAAAGAATGAGAAAGTGCCTTCATGTTTATTATGAACAACCGTATTGAAAATACACATAACTGACAAACATTCAGTATTAATGGGGTATACTAATATATGTTTTGGTCAACGAATGGAACGGAAATTTATTGCCAGGCAGCAAAATTCAGTATACTGCAACAAAAAGTCTCTACATTTTCGCATAAATCAAGGGGATTAAAATTGCAAACTACTTAAATATAAACTAAACAAATAGGTACAAAAATTGTGTTGAACTCACAGTCTGACATTTTACTACAACAAATGTACTTATACACCGACAAAGCATTCTGATAAACTTGACAAATGAGAAATAATCATATCACGAAAGGTACATTCCTTCATAAGTTTAACGGGATTAATAAACTTTTCTTTGTTATAAAATTGCACTATTGAACCTCAGTGATTTGGGAAAAAATATGCATCCCTTGCATCAGATTCGTAATTTATAAATTAAGCAGTTCGAGGTGAAATATAGATGACTCCTATCTGGCTAGCCAGCGCTACTGTTTGATGCGATAGATATCCAACTAGTCGTGTCAATCAGTCAGTAGTACTACATAGTGTTCCTTGGATTATTTTTGAGGAGAATTTATCAAAATAAGACTAGACTAGTCTTATTCATTTGCTGAGATGAAGCGTATAGGCTCACGGCTCTTTAATTTCACAGTTTAGCGTTTTTCTGCTGCTGATTTGATATCCCTCAGTGCACATAATATAGCAGATGTTTTCATTTGAATCAACAGCTCAAATTTAGAGTGTTACTTTTTATTTATTCAGAATACAAATAAAACTTTATGTATACCAAATAACAACAGACGACACACACCGTCCTCTATAAACAACATCATTTTGTCTTTATACAGAATTTACTGCCAAGATTACGTACAAAAAGGTGTGACTTTTTCCTCCAGACTAACTTTATGTCATATCTCGTACAGGCCATATCACTTGGAGGTTTAGAGTCCTTATCTTCTGTGCACTGAAGCTATATTAAAAATATATTTAATAGTCAGATGTTTCTTTATTTCGACTGTCTGTCAAGTATTAATGGTTGATATGGGCTGTAAGCAATTATCCCTTTCAATTTGTAGTTTATAATTATGTAGTGACAATGGACAATACTGAATTGTAACTTAAAGACCGCAAAGTTGACTACTGAGAAATAAGCAGATAAACTGGATAAGTGAGATGCTCAGGGTCGCTAAGAACAGCCACCGCTATAAACCGTGGTTAAAATGCATTTTGGTCAATATTAGTGTATCAGCCTACTCACTAATTACAGAAAATGATTACTATAACTTATTTAATATCCACAACCTTATAACATTCTCTCTTTACTATTCTAGTCTGCGTGTTTTATGTTTTCTTGACTTTATTATTCAAAAGAATATCTCCCATAACAGTAGAGGGGGTGCAGGGCTAACAGTTTCATTTTATCAGGATTAAAAGTTATCTGCATACAGCTGAGTATGTTATGAAAGGTATTCTACTCTTAGGTGGTAAAAAGTAAAGCGCATATTAAGATATTTTTACCTGTAAGACTCGCGTCAAAATCGAAATACTCTATTAATCCTGCAGTCATTAGTGAAATGCACAATCCATTTTTAAGCATCACTTTCCTATCGAAACAAACTAAACATTTCTTTGACTTGTTATTCCGCCTTACTTATTAATACATCTGCATGAAACATTTACCGTTTGAAATTATGAATTAACCGCTCTTGTCTACCTATTGTTTTTCCTATTTACTCTGTGTCTATTAGCATGAACTATTTTTAGATAGCATTTGGTCATCTCAGCCTTCCAAAATTGAAGTTACAACCTACCACATTCTTTTTATTGTTTTATTTACTTGTTTCTTCTGCACTCATATTTGTAATGCAATAAATAAATAAATAAAATGATTTGATACGTTTTGAATGTCCCTCAACAAAATAAACTCCGTACTTTTCAGTGAATAAATAATTCAAATCGAATCTGCACACTCATGACCACCCAAAGATTTCTAATTCAGTTTCTTATATATTTCAAAATGAAGCAAAAAAACAAACAACATTTATTTAGAAATGTCAAAAGTTCTTGTATTTGTGTACATTTATTAGTGAATTCATGTTTACAAACTTTTAAAATTATTGTTGTATGTATCAGCACTACAAGGAATACACAGAAATGCTTGTAATAATGACGCTGCACTTATCATTGAAAGATTTTTTCACTTCCACTGAGGATACAGTAGACAATAAAATGTGTTCTTCATTTTTGAAATGTCCACATTGTTGACAGTAGAAAATTAGAACTGGTTTCAAAATTATCGAACCCAGTAGTTCCAAAGGAATCTTAAAAGTGACGCACAAGGAATCGTGGTCACCTTAGAAACTAGTAAACTGAATAGACTAATTATTCAGTGGTTCATATTCATTGGTTGGTGTGAATATATTCAGGTTAGGAAGCAACTGCCAAATGATCACCTAAACATCTTTGTCATTCAAACTACACATTAATCCATCACTCAAAAAGAATCTTAGTCTTCATTCTATTAAACAGAAATGCGATGTCTCATATAAACTTTGTGTTTTAGTGTATGAATTTTCAGCCAAAAAGGCACATGGTATCTCTGAGAAATCCTAGTTTTTCAATGAAATATGTCTGACATTCGCGGCGCAGTCAATAAAGTGAATGATATGAAACAACAGTGATTGCATTTGACTGCGAACATCTAATAACATGGAGTTAAGTGTCATTGAGTTTTGTGCATTAAATCAACATTTTCAGGTTTTTATTTCAAGCAGTGTCCTAATAATAATTCTAATAATCTCAACTCCTTATTTGGCCTTATTTAATAAAGCAGGTTTCTCATTTTTATGCACTACATTACAGCAAAATGGGACTACTTTTCACAAAGTTGATGATTAAATCTGAAATAGACTTGAGATTGCGGAACATCGTCTTACTACCTGTGGTTTTATACAGTACCTAGGCTATAAATTTATTCAACTTACACAGGCAGCTACGCAAGAAAACACAGTTAGAAATCGTTTAGTGCATGAAATTAACTTTCGTCTAAAATTTCGAGTAATTGCCCTGGTTGTTAGAATTTGTTTCCTCAGAAACCTGAATTCACACAATACAAATGTTTTTCGGAAAAGTATTTCTCTATATAGGTGACTACCAGATACGAAATTCCAGGTGTTCAGAGTAAAGAATTCCTTTCTTAGATAGCACATTTGTATCTCTCTGTAATTTAAGACAAATTATAACAAATTTATTTGGTTTGTAAATGACAGCTACTATTAAATACACTTGAGATCGACAGTGGTGATGTGCAGTGACACCTA